AGGTCCGAATCTAACTATAGGCCTAAGGATGGTGTTTACATATCGCAGCAATAATACCAACACGATCCAGATCACATTACAAATCATGGATGAAAATCTAAACTAGTTCGATGATAATCCATAGTTTTGAATTTGCTGGTGAGAGTGACTGCGATACTGTCGATTTTTTAACTGTCGATGACATTGTTGTCAGCAATCTATCGTGGTACTGATCACTCTATAGCTATGCTTTTCCCTAGATTATACAAGTCCGACAGTGTTCGAAGTCGTAGTTTATTGAAAGGAAGTTGATCCCTTCAAATGTATCGTGGGCTACGGCTTTATTTATTGGAAAGGAATTAAATGGTGAACAATTTAGTTATCTGGAAGGACTCACAACTCGTGTACGAAATACTTCACAGATTGTGTACAAATGTCTTCTAGTAGTGAACTTGTGGACATAGTAATGGTTCCTGCATTATACCACAACTACAAAGTTTGAACGAGCTAAGTGCAAATGTAACGCTTACTCATCATATGGTCAATAAATAAGTCGTTAACTACCGTTAATTATCATGCTATGTGAATACATTCTCTACGCTGTCAAATCCATTGCATTAAGCTGTAAAGTGTCGTGGACATACGATCGAGAAAATGCTTTCGCATAGAGTAATTTTTTTACTTCAGCTACGAAACGTGAAATAGAGTCAAGGAGTGCAATCGTCAGGAGCCCCCGACGACTGAACTGCGTACACGTCGCTGTAAAGGTATACTACTGGTAAGTAGTATCTATTTTTATATATAAATAAATACCTACCAAATGGTCAAATTATTTTCACGTCGACGTCCTCGATCACGAACTTCCGTTCGAACCCAAGTGACACCCCTTTGTCTTGTGCTAGTTTTTAGCAGCAATACAAGATCATGATCAACAAGGTATGACGTAATCAGGGCTAACGTTAGCATGCAAAACCTTCACCTGTATATCTCACCCAGGTACATGAAAAACAAAAAATCCATGAGAGAATAATGGCTAGAGTACAGCAGTCTAAAATGGAAAAATACACATGATTGTGGAGGAGTTAGTGAGATATATTGCATCAATACCTGGTTGTCGACTTCGCTTGATTTACAGTTAGACATTTTGTCGATTGAAACGGTGAATATGAACTACCTAGGTAGGGGCCTGCTGCTGAAGCTCAGCGCATTCAATCAATTTGGTGGTCACTACTGGCATTGACGCTTCCCTAGTCATGGCAATCTCGGGAGAGTTTCGTATCAATCAGTCCCAGCACCTTTGATATGATGTTTTCATAGGTAGTGGAACAACGCAGCTTGGATCCATTCCGATGAACACGGGCAATTAGCAATAACCTTTTCCTTGAATCCTACTGCCTTGTGCTTGTATTTGGTAGCGTAATGTCGGTATAGAGGGTGGTTACAGTACTGGAGTACGTTCAATTACGTTACCTTGTGGACAGTATCAAGATCTTCATTGCATTAGTACTGCACTACACCACTGTACTGTACAATACAGTAGCCATTTGATTCTATTTTGGCATCGAGTACTAGGTAGTACACTCCGGTTGAGTAACGTTATACTGCGTTATACTAGTACTGTACTCTGGAGTAGTAGCAAACTCAGACCATGGATGTCCATTATTTCGAAGGTTTTGACAATGGGTTTTCATCATCCAGCGTTATTACATGTGTACGGTACTGAAGCCATATTTTCAACCGAAATCCTGTAGCCAGCACTATATCAAGTGCGAGTGGTATCTCTTCGGTTGTGTGAGCGTACTTCTCTGCCCACGTGTTCGCGATGAGTTGCCGTGCTGCTGTACAGAATTCAATTCAAAGTAGCTAACAGTTACGATAACTACGAAGTATTAAAAAAAACAAAAGAGTTCTCCGGTGTGTTTTTACAGTTAACTTGGAAATAATAAAAAACACATTAACGTTATTATTATGCTGAAGAGTGTGTTCTGAGTCTGATGGACATCAAGATACTGCACTACAACTGTAATACGTAGTACTAGTACTAGTAGTACCCCATAGTATCTTGGTCCATATCAACTGTCGCTGCAATCGAATGATTACTTTGGCAATGACAATGTTTCATTGCCCGTCAACAAATCTATTTCTACAGGAAATCGGGACACAATGTAGAGCAACCAAACACTCATATTTTTGGCAGCGTTCAAGCATAAGTCGTCGGGTCCGCTGCAAACACTGCGTTGATGTTGGAGTGCTCGACTGGTAACTTATGTACATGTGTGTCCGCACCATATATATACTCGCCGCTGATTAGTTGTGTGAGAATCCTCAACATTGACATATGTTATGCGAGTATTTTAATTTTACTTTCAAGTGCTTGTTAACCACACAAGTTAAGACTTGATCTTAGTCCCCATCAAGCCATCGGAGAAGCAAACTCGTTCGAACCTTTGAAGAGAAAAATGCCCTATGGATATTTCAAGCTCCAAGTTTAAACCTTAAGGGTATGATTTGTAATACTTGGTACCTTGAGATCCACAACACGATGCCTAGACTTGACCGGCTCCAGATATTGCAAAACTAATTGAAACGAGCTCTTTATTATTGCCGTAATTCCAAGGGTAACTCATGTATCCATGGAGGAAGCGACCGCTGGATGGTTGAGGGTTTGTATCCCTATCTGACATTTGCGTCCTTTGCCTGCATGTTAAATACCCTGTCTCGTGTGTATTCGATCTCTTCTTTTTGACGACTTTATATATCTGCTATCTTCTTTATTACTTAACTATATTTTGAATATTCTACTAGAAAAAACAAAATAAAGCAAACCCCATAACCATGATCACAGGCAGGGGCAACGTCCAACCCTTTTTGTTACGTTTTCATCTTCATCAGCACCCCTAAATGTTAGAGGCCCGTGGATGACTTGCCGTCCTGTGGATTCGATTCTACATTCAGGCAGGTATGTCGATCAGTACGATGGATGATGGCCTCAAGCTCATTAACAGCTTCAAAGATGCATATGTATGATTGATCTTCATCGTGTGATCGTCGTCTTTTGAGTTTCAATGTATCGTTAGCCCCGTATTTCCCTACATCTGACAGACGCATCTGCTTGTCCATCACAAGTTGAGACATATTTCATTGAGTACCAATAGTACAGTTTGCAACCACGAGAATATCCATAATTTCCAAAATGATATTCAATGCCGAATGGTTCAAGGGCGTACTCGGAGGTAGCCAGCCAGCCAATCCAACGTCCTCGTCGTCGTCGTCACCGGTATGAATAGCCCACCTGGTTGCTTACATGAAGTGTAGCAACGTTGACAATATTAATAGTATTTGTGGTTATATATGTATTGAATTCTTGAAAGTCGCTCCTCCAGTATTGTATACAATGACGCGAGACTTGAAATCAAAAATCCTGTTTTGCTATATGACATCGTAATTATCGTCGTATTCATATCAAGGACATTTAATTTAAATCAACATGACATCGCCTAAAAATATTGGACCACGTAAAGTGTCAATTTATGACGTGCCAATTTAGGTCGTACTAAATGCACCAATCATACAGTTAACCTCTGAATTTCTATTCACAATTACATACAAAAAGGAAGGTTAAAATATAGTACGACTTAAATTGGCACTTAAAACTATAGAGGTTCCTCGTCTATAACGGTTTCCAAGGACTCCAAGACTTGTGCAAGGGCATAAGAACTTAAAATTATAGGTTGTTCATCAGGGAATTCTGTACCTCTTGGACTATTTATTATTCGAAAATGGTGAAGCAGGATGGAGATATGCCCATTTTTTAAAATTAAATGAAAGTTGTATGTCCTAAATTAGCATTTTACGTCCAAAGTTGCTTGAGAATTGGCCAGATTGGCGACCCAGGGTTAATTACTTGCGATCAAGGGGCATGGAAAGAATAGTGTTGTGATATGTTAGCATTGAAATGCAAAGAGGGTCGTCTTCTAGTTATTATTACGACAAAGCAATTCGTACAGCCTTGAACCACTTTGTGTGGATATTCATCAGTGACATGTATCGATATCATTCCGATGGTCCAACGGCTAAAAAATCACTTGCATAAATCAAACGAAAGTCGAAGCTCGGTCAATGTGGCATCGATGGCTGGCTATACGTCTCGAACCGATTATTAGACTGTTTATCGAGTACTCCACTGTAATGCTATGCAAATACTGTTCACACTCGGCACAACCTCCGAAACCATAAGCTCATACATTAACCAACATTATCCACAATAAATCAGGCCTTATTATCTCTAACCTTTGGGCATGTACATACGTAATATGGCAATTGTGCGACAATATGTCGTAACTAATACTCATAGTACATACTTATTGGCATAGTACATACTTATTGGCTCAGTTTCGTGACAACTTGGTTCCTTGCCGCGATACATGATTGGTGGAAACAATCACTCTGAAATGTTCAACCAATCACATGCAACTTTACTTGAGTTTGAGAGGTTCTGGATAAAATCAAATGGCTCGGAACTGTTTTCAGCCTACCGGTATGGATATTTTCACTCTTTTAGTTCATGTTTCATCAACCTCAATACGAATTTCGACATGATTTTAAGTCCAACGAACTGCATGAATTCTCCACTTTAAGAAACACTATTATTATAGCAATTTGGAATAACGGAACCCCTCTATCGAAGGGTCTCAAACAGTGTCACGGAACCACCCTGGCCAACGTATATACTGTATGTAGCTCGTTTTCAGCATCGAATCGAAACCATTGCCACTCTTCCTCGTAGATCTATCATAGTATACGATACCTATACATACACAATAATGCACTACACAACGTTGATCAAGGCATAGCATTTTCGTTATGAGCTTGGGGGCTAGGGATGTTGCGGGGCTAACCATACTAACCATAGTCAAGACCCGGGCTAAAGTCCAATATCGCAATAATCCCCCCATAAGGACTACACTATCGCTATATATATATTATACATATAAACGAGGAAGATCGTAACAGTCTCTTTATTAAACGTTATCCATCCGTGTATACGTCGTGTCGAGCTGTAGCACGAGCGAATGTGGGACATCGTTCCACACTCGAATTCGGTCGTCTACCCCCAAGTGTTTGAGGTTTTCCATCGACGAATGGTCCGAGTATTCCAATGTCCACGCTACGCGACAGAGTTTCGAATTTTGGACATCGGGTGAGATGCACACCCGCAATAGGGTACACCACCGGGGGGGGGAATCGCCCACTGACCACGTATACACCCTACAACGACGATGCTGTTTGAAACCAACGGGGAATATATATATATTAATATATTTCAACAAACTAGGAATATATACATATATGTTTATATATCGAGTACGATATATGTCCATCGATGTTGTTTTGTTTTTACCACAATCGAACTGTATCCAACTCTGTCCACCCAATGTAATCGCCGTCCAATTGAAACCGATGGAGGCCACAGGATTCGCCGTTGGGAAACGCTTGAAATTGATTCGGCTCGCCGTTTAGATGGAACTCGGTCCCCATGGCCACGAACATGGGTACATGCGACTTGACCTTCCATATATATTTTTTTAATATACTTGTTTTGCGTTGATATATATATAAGTTATTACAAAAAAGAGGTGGCCGTCCAGACGCGTGTGTACAGCAAACAGCATGGTAAACACCCGAAAGAATGCCACCACAGTCGGCCGAAGGCTCATGCGACGGAGTTGCACGATCGACAAGACCCAAAACTCATGGGTTTGCTGTATACGCAGTTGCTGCGATGGAGTGTTGAAAGCAGCAGCATCGGAGTTTTTTAGCTATCGTAGAAAGATAGATATTAGCCTCAATATTCAATCTCTAAGAACCACATCACGCTGAAAACATATAAGTACTGACACAATCAAGGCAAGGTATTGTGTTTGAGGTATAAACTTGCAAAATACGGGTATTTATTTACTAGCATTCAAGATTAAATCACGCTGGAAACTTTGGATTGGCTACTTGTCCTTTCAGTAAGATAGCCAATCAGATCCACTCAAAATATTGAATCAGCCAATAGCGTCGATTCGTGATCCGATTCGGCGGCGATTCGACTGGAAATAGTTGTATCGAATTCACAATCTATCACGTCTCACAATGTGTTTATATCACAACTACAGATCCCATATATGAAATCTACACAGATCTGTGTTCAACCCCTTCATATGCAATAAATAAAAATATATATATACATATTGTATATGTATATTGTCAAGTCGATTCGAGTTGAAGCGGGATGATGGTCAATCGAATATGCAGTACCAAATCGACAAACAATCGACCGATCAATCGACCAAGCCACACCACTTTCAAGTGGCGGCCAACTGCAACCATCGAATGAGTATGTGACTTCAAATACTAGTATGCATGGCTTCCCATGTTTTTGCATGCGAATACAAAAAATTCAGTACGTGGTTCAATCGGCCGAAGGATGTTTGGCGAAGAAGTAGCACAAATCTCATCCAAGTTTTGGCTCCAAGAGCAGCACAAACATATTCCCTTAAAGCACCTTGGCATTTGTTTGCAACGTGCGTAGCAATGCATGCAGGCCAATCGTCGGTGGTTCGCGATGAGCTGGTAGTGGGTTGCTGTCATTGGCCAACGCAAGTCGAACGAACTCGTCGAATGAGTGCGAGTGACTTGCCAGCATATCTGCGACCATCGAGTGGAGGAAACCGATGCCGACGTCGTACACTTGAGGCATCAAGTGAACGTCGTCGCAGGCGTGGTCGTGTGTGTATTGCTGCACGCGGGTAAACACAGCTGGATCAAACCACCGCCAAATCATATTGAGCGCAATCTACGGGAGGATATTTAGAATATATATATATATATATCATCCGTGAACCAGAAAGGCCGTACACCAACAGCAAAATAAACCCCCACGAACCCAACCAACAAGGGGTACATTGCCCAATAATCCAATACGTATGGTTGTGTGTATTCTAAACTGAGCGACATGGAGAATGTGTGAATCGACACTGCCAAATACATTGCAGAGAATCAATCGGCAGAACGAGACTTAGCCAATCAGATTGCAGGAAAACGTGTTATGACTTCAATTAGTGTGATACCAATCGTCACAATTCAGTACAACGAATCGATCGATCGATTTCGTGCGATTCAGCACAAAAGTCCAAGCTTTGGGTAAAAGGACAAAACCATGCCAAGTATATATATATATATATATACAGAAGAAACGACGACCTCGTGGTGGGCGCCCCATGGCATGCCAGACACTTGGATCAGTTCTGGCGGCAACACGACCGACGGCATCGTTGGCATAGACGTTGCCACGTCATCGCTTGGATGCCCGATCCAGTCGCGGCACTGGGCCACCAGTTGCCGTTCAATCGCTGGCCACCTCTGCGCCACATCGCCAATCAAAATCGACGTGCAAAACGTGTGTGCTATCGCCAGTTGATGGGCTTGGCGTTGGATTCGCGTCAACGCTTCTGATTTCACTGGTAGGCCACCACGACGAGGGGCTAATTGGGCTGGTTGGGTGGTTCTGGTGGTTTTGACCACTTTGGGCTTCACCACGTCGCTGCTGCTGCTGTCGTCGGCAGATTTCGCTCTGCGATACGACGACAGTTTGAACGGCGGTGTCGCCACACTCCACCCAATCACGCACTTGTCGTCGTTGTTGTTGGGGACAACTGCGACAACGTACACCTACGTACATGACAATCAAAAAAGAGCAAACTAGACCGAAAAGTGGATCCGTCATTAAACGATATATATTTATGGAGAAGCTAACGTTACTTGAAACAAATGCAGGGCTTCTCGCTTTTTCGTGCTCGAACCCCCGTGCCACGTGTAATGCCACCCGTCCGTTCGCTTTTCGTTGAAATGATACACCAACGACCCGTCCTACACACACATGCACACACATATATATATATATGAACAATATTATATATATAAGAACAATATTATATATATATGTATGTATAAGAACAATATTATATATATATATGTATGTATATATAAGAACAATATTGGGTCGTATTGTTGTATGGCGTTGGCAGACTTTGGTTGGTTGGTTGTTACCTCGCCAGGAGGTTGGCGGTGACCTTGTAGCCACAAACCCATTGCATTTCGTTGGCTGCGCAAATCGCTGGTGAAGGTGGACAGGGACACGACGTCGTTGGGGGCGTAGGTCGCCTCTGAAGCGACTTGAAATCGACCAAACGCTTGCAAGTCATTTCTATCGTAGTGGGCGGGATCGTGCACTCGAACGCTGAGTGAGGACCCGCAGCCACGGTACTCCATGTGCGGGCAACAGTGGGGGAAGCACCTACATACAACGCGCCAAGTGAACGACATCTGGACGACGGCCGTATACGCACCGAATCACCTACAACCAAACACAGTCACAAACATATACTACTCGTGTTGTCAATGGCATAGTCGACTGACTACCTTGAGGCCATGGTTCTGGTAGCACCTACGACCACAACATGGTGATGATGGCTAGCTTCTACACGCTTACAGCTACGGTACCGAATATACGACTCACGGAACAGGTCCTTGTGCGAGCAGTTGATGCGAAAAAAGGTCGGTGTGCTCATGGTGGCACCATCGGCGGCGGCCATGTCACGTCGATGAGTCTTTGATTTGCAAGCTGTTGATTTGTCGACCCAGATATCAACGTGTTTTATATTCGTTTTAAATAGTGACGTTTGGAACTTGCAGTTTGTATGCGTTTCAATGCGTTTCGAAATTCCTGTCACATACTACTAGGTATACAGGTTTCGAACTTGACCTTGCTTTTATGTACTAGTATACAGTACATCCTGACGAACAATCGTATCATCATGGTGAACCCAACAAGGATGCTACTCGCGCCAACGATTCAACATAGAATGCCGTCCTCGGTGGTACGCTCGCGTGTCATGTACTACTCGTTGTATTCCATCATGACCCTCTATGTCCACCAAGTCCTCGGACATTTCACTTCAATGTGCGATGTCGTTGTTGCAACCGTAGTACAGTTCACAAAACAGGGATTACTGTACTTCAAGTAGAGCGGCTGTAATGTATGAGCTAATTTGACGATTTCATACCTATCATTTCGTCGTTATGTTATTTTAAATGAATGTTCTAATGATGATAAATGACATTTTTATCATTCTCTCGATTTTTTCATACGTTCGCTTCCCCCGCATGCTCGAGAAACCGTATACCATAGTAGTGTTTTTCCACCACTACTAACGAGTGTAAAGGTACAGTATTGCAGTGAGATACCTTCGGAGTATTATTAACTTCGACAGGTCTGATAACTTTACAGATTTTATTCAAATTGTCGAATTTGATATTTCGTAACATGTACTTGAAGTATTAGATAACGTTAGCTTTAATAAAAGCTTCTCGATTGACACTCTCTAATACTATTGTGCTTTTCACCTGTTTTACCTATGGTTTTTGCAAAACCTACATTAACTGTAAATGTAAGCAACGATAAGCCGGATATTGGCCATATGACCCCATGTCGATTCGTCGACATGTTATAAAATGATCTGTATGCGGCCAGTTTGGAGTCAGCCATCCAGCACTCTATGCCGTAGCGCACACATTCTTCTTGCAAACGCTTCTTGCAGACCCGGCTGGATGATGTAACCTTCGGACGCCCCTTGTGGAATTTTGCCTTGTCCATGACGATTAACGCGATCGTGACCCCTAGGCTGTCCAACTCATCCAACAACTTGCCATACCATCCGACAAAGTAGTCGTGGTTAAGCATACCATAATAGTCCTTCGGTACAATTGCTCTGGCCTTGACATCGGTGAAAATGTCCCCTCCGAAGAAATGCTGGCTATGGTTGTGCCGCGTCCCGAAAAGTAAAAACACAATGGTGAACGGTATTGTTTCATTGCTTGCATAGAGTACTGTGCTTTATCCCCGTCGTTTCAAAAACCTTTGAGCAGTTACGTAGGGGGCTGAGGCCTCGTGTTGGTGATGTCGAAGTCCATAACACACATCTCCTACCAGTATGCCATGACTTCGACGGCAGTCGTACGTGTACGTGTGACACATCTACCCCGAACGAAGGTTTGGACAAGTCAATCGTTTACTTGTTATCTGGAACTGGTGTGGTATGATTACTCCAGTTGGACGCTGGAGTGGTTACTGTAGGCGGTTCCAACATTCTTGTACTCACGCGCAATCTTTTTTTACGATGTCGTGGCATCGCCCAAGGGCCCTGGCAACTTGGTGAGATACATCTTTGGCACCTTCACTCACGTGAAGTATGTGTGGAGTCGCTGTACATTGAGACGGCTTCTTCTGTGAGACTATTGTTTGCCATTACTTTGATATTCAAAAACCTCATGGAAGTTGCTATGTTGACTTATGGGTGTATTATTCGATAATGAGTGTCAAGTGGTGCTTCTCCCTGGCCTGTATTCACGCCTTTTGTCCTCGCCTATCAAGTATCCCAAGCTCTATCGCCTAGTCCATCAACTCTGACAGGCCGGGACAGTGGTCACTGTATACTTACATGTTCTGTATATCTTCCATCTCGCTTCCCTATTCGAGTGATTCGCTCCCCCAATCCCGGCTCTAGCACAAGGTAAAGAGCACTGATTCTAACACGTCAAAGTTTCTCTTTGGCTGCGTTTTTGCCAATAGAAACGAAACTAGATAGTCTGTAAACGACACTTTCCGTTTTCCCCTGTCCTGCAGACTTAGTTTGTCTTGGACAGTCTGCGAAAATTGCTATACCCTATCACCCACGTTTACCTCCTGTTTCCTACATCGTGACAGGTATTGAGCCGTCCTGCTTCAACCATTACCGCCTACTCCGGAATTCTCCTCGACGACGGCTACAAGTTCTATACTGCGTGGCGCACCACTTTCGAAGAAGCGGCCGTAAACGTAGGCTTCTTTTTCTCTACACCAACAGGACCTACTGCCCACGCGCATCGAAACTAATACGTACCTACACTATCAGGCAGTCCAAACTCCAGGTCGACAAGATGCGAAACGAGGCGAAGTACTCCACCGACGGTTATGCTAGCGACGCTTTGGAATAGCGCCTTGCGACAGTGAAATGCTGGTACAGGACTTCACACGCAAGTTTCTCGACGAGTACATCGCGGAGTCCCTCGCTGCACTACGCGTCGAAGCTAAGGCGATTCTATTCAACTCCCTCACACCAATCCTCCAACAAGTCATCGGATCGTATACCTCTCCCTTCTCCCTCTGGGTCGCACTTACGGCGCACCATGAATCCTGCACCCGCGACTCCTTGATTCTGTTTGCGAGTCTCAAGTATACCAAGGGAAAAAGTGCCTAAACTCTCTTCACTACCCTCGACGATCAGATCAACTTGATCGAAACGGCATCCCTCCTGCAAATGCTGAAGCTCTCACGGCTCCTGAAGGCCACGTGAAGACTTTCGAGCTCTTTCGCACCCTCTTCTACTCTAACCCCTTTGCTGCCAACAAAGACGTGTAGGAGCTGTTTGCCAGCTCCAACTTAAGGCGAGTGAGGACGGCTCCGAATGCTCACTTACTACAATCAACGATACTATCTGCCACACCTTAAACATCGCCTCTCGACGCAATGTAATCCTAGCGGATCAATGCTCCGGTGATTCCGAATCCCGTCGACGCCAAGTTGCCGAGGCTGCCACCTACGCTACGCCTAACACCACTCAACCTTCGCCTCTATATACCGCAGCAGCAGCCCCTTCTTACGAGTAACTGCCACGTTGATACAATTTGAAATTCAAAGCCTTTAGCCAATCCGCGCCAATATGGTGTCGTCATTTCGACCCCACAAACGTCCACACCACGAACTCGTCAAATATGCTAACACCAGCGAAGCGTTTGACATTCCACCAAAAGGAGCAAGTGCGAGTATACTACCGAGCATCCAAACACCGCCCGCTACCTGAGACATGCATGTGGATCGCCCACGCGTTTCATGTCCGAGTGCATACAAGAACCGTTGGACGCATCGTCCACGACACGCGGCCATGCGCGCTGGCCAACCTTGACAATGACACCACCAAGTGGCGATGCAACATCAAAGCACCGCACAACCCTGAGCTCGACACGCAACTGGCGGCGTGGGTCCTTAACGCCAACGACAAGAACGCTTCGATCACTGGGCCAATGACCAAGAGAAAGGGTTATCAAATAGCCCAATAACTCAACATGCAAGGATCCCTTACCTTCTCGACCGTTTTTTACAACCTCCAAAGAAGTACAATCATAGCGAAGTAGACGGTGTACGGCACGAAGAAGAACAAGAGCAGAATTTCAGCTACCATCACAGCCAACGCGGAAGGAACATACAAGCTCCCAGTGTTCTTCATTGGCAAGGCCACGCGACCCCGAAGCTTTGGCACCTTGTCGGGAGACGACCTCAGGATGATCTACCGCAATAACAAGAAGGCGTGGATGACAATCGCTCTGTTTTGCGAGTGGATGGTCAGCCTCGATGACCAAATGCGGGACAGCAACCGCAACGTCCTCTTGATTCTGGAGAATGCGTCGTCGCACAAAGCCGTGGGTGTTGACCTTACCAATGTTCACGTGTTGATGCTGCCGCCCAATACCACGTCCAGCCTTCAACCCATGGATGCTGGAATCATCGCGTCGTTTAAGACATACTATCGGCGCCGACAACTGGACCACGCTATTGGTATTGTTGTCGAAATGGCAGCCGGATATGACATTTTCGCGGGTGGAAAATGCAAGAATTTATACAGCGTAGATATCCTGAAGGCAATGCAGTGGTCGACGGAGGCTTGGAACGATGTGACCCCAACAACAATCCGCTATTGTTGGAGGCATACAGGGATTGTGCCCCAACAGTCCTTGATGAGTGCATTTGACCAGATACGCGTTGCCGCATCAATGTCATTAGAGTTGCTTCACACGAGCTATATTTTGTGTACTTCTAATGTGACAATTATACAAGTGTACTGTACTAGATTTCACTACGTACTTATATAGTATAACTACTCAGGGTATTTATCGAAAGGTGGTAGGTATTTGCTGGCTTAATGTTAGAAAATACTTCGAAGTAGTCACCAAATGTTTGACAATTTATTTCCCTATAAAGTCAACCAATACCGGGTGTAAAGTGTGACGAACTTCTCCCAAAACCCATAACCTTTGTATATACTAACCTCTACACAGCTATATTTCACCCATGCTGCAAAAACCGGGGATCCACTGTAGGTAGCAGTAATCTATTACTCTAAGTACTTGGTTTTAAAAGCATTTAAAATCAATGAGATACAGAAAAGGTCCGACCTTCCAAGGTACAGTACAAAGATACTCTGCCCCTGGCCATAGTGACGCAGCTTTCTTTCGGCCATTCCATTACTAGTAATAGCGAGTTGCGTGTTATCAATACTTATCTTTTATAGTACGTATATAGTACCCATGATTGACCAGTACTACTAGTACAATACTAGTAGTACTGGTCAATCATGTGTAAAATTCCCACTTCGAAAGGTACTAGTAGTTAGTAGTTCGTAGTATTACATACTAGTATTGTACTACTATGTAGTACTACGAACTCCTAGTACCTTTCGAAGTGGGAATTTTTCACCAACTAATTCTATGTTTGTCGACAACGGAGGATAAAAATACAAGTTTGTTGGTAAGATACACCCTGAAACCCCGAATTGTTTTCGTAAGAACTTCATTAATACTACGTAGTACTACTACACTGTACGTAGTACTTCGTCTGTTCCACATTACTTTTACAAAAGGAAAAACACACTTTTCCACGTTACCCGTGAAGAAATACATTGGGAAGAAGTACTGTACTATTCATACAACAACGTTACTTGTGTTCATAAATGTTAAATTCGGTTGCAAATATTTTTGTTGACAGTGAATGGAAATGGAGTGATACAGTACTAACGTAACGTCATCGTCAGTGACAAATCATCGCATTACAGTACTACCGTATGATCAGTACCCATGATTTTGCCTTATCGAGTTGTACCCAAATTGCTGCTGTATGGTGTCAATAAAGTACGATTTGGTGGTACCTTGGAAGGTTGTACCCAAGTCGCTTTATATTGGTCAAAACTGTCCAATTATCTCGTTCTAGCCAATTACACAAGTCGAAGTAGTAGAAGTAACCAATCCGAACGCGTTGGAAAGAAATCAGCCCACCTTATTCAGCTGTACCGTATCCATTTCGATCAGATTTTACTGACATTTTCGGGGGTACAGATCCATAAGGTATACGGTAGTATTGCAGTATGTTCCATGGCTACTGTACTACTACTAGTACGTATTAATATTAATAGTACTAGTTACTATTATTACTAGTACTAATAGTACTAGCATAAAAATGTCTACTTCCGGTAGTACGTACTTGGACTTGAAAGCCCCTCCTCTTGAACACTTTTTGCTGGTGCATACCTAGTACAATAACATGCCGTCGAGGGAATGCCGGACAAATGGTTATTGCACCTACAGTAGTCAATTCAAAACGCAAACCTAAGTACCAGTACCTAGGTCTGGGTAGCACTGCAAGGGGGGTCAAATTGATGGAACTACTGTACCGGTACTAGTTCCCTGTTTACTACGTCCTGTAGTCAGAGAGTTCACAGCAAAATGAAGTCGGTTTATTTGAAGCTCCATCGATACACTGTAGTACTGTACTAGGCATATCAGTATCGGTACTGATATGTAGTCAACTGGAAACAACAGTTTCGATAATTTGACTTCACGTTAGCAAAGTAATCTCCGTTGAGTGATAAATTCATTGAGACAGAGAATATATACGTACAAATGCCGCTGTGGTTCAGAGACTTCCGTGTGAATACTACACTGGAGTAGCACTGTTCCGGACTCACATGAGATTGAGATTGCCGTTTGTGGGTAGTTTTGTACTCCACTACTGGTATACGTATACCCTACATTAGTCGGATTGCTTTGAATACCAATGCTGTTAAACCAACACTTGAAGTTTACAGTAACTGTTACGTAGTAGTCGTCACTAACGTTAGGTCAGCAGATATGTGTGTATGATTACCCGTAGCAATGTAACTTCCGTATGAAGGAGAGTCATTGTGTGTTTCGTATCCTTCGTTCCAGCACACATCCTGTGTGTGCACCACGGTCGTACATCTACTAGTAACGTAGAAAACCAATTTAAGAACACTTTTCCCGAGACGCCGCGGTGGAAGGAACGAAGCTCAGCATGGATGCATCAGATTCACATTCGGAAAAGTGCTGGATGAGGCCAAAGCGGAGTTGATTCATTGGACATTCAAAAAATTGTGTTTCACGATCTATTTGACAGACATAAATACCATTTTCAAAGCAAATGTACTCAAAATGTGAGAACCAGTTATTGGTGCATACAATTAGCTTAAAGTTTGTATACTCATTTGCATATTTTTTGTGTGGTTATGTTATGTAATTTCAGCAGTTAAATATTAAATCCAGACAGGTAATGCAATTATACAGTTGTGAGTAACTGTCAGTGACCATTTTTGAAATTGACGCGAGTCGGACATTTTAGGAATCCACAACCAGGTGTGCACGAATAATTGGAGGTCCAACATCACATGCAAAGGTATTTCATGTAATGCGATGAATTACACTACAACGTTCACAGCGTTCTTGCGGTTGGCTTTGACTTGACCATTAGGCAAGGGCTTGAGGCCATCATGGCAGCGACACGGACACAACACCAGCACCGCTCTTCGCTTCTTTTTTCGTTCAGAGTGCAAGTCATCCGTGACTACAGTAGTAATAAGCCTCGTGAGAAATATATACATACGTGTACAATGAAAGTATTTGTAACTTTACCGTCATTCACAATCTCCTCGGCATGGTAGGGCGTGGCCCGCGGCGCTTTGGTGTCGTGGTGGTGCCGGCCTTTGTCGCGTGCACATACTTCATGAGGGTGTTGTAGGGTATCTTGGAGAACGCTGCCACTGGCTTCCCGTTTCGCCCAGCAAGCACATCTTGAACAGCTCTGTCAAGCTCAACGCGTGTATATCGCGATCGCGGTCGCGGTCGTGCATGACAGGCGCCAAAATTCACTTCGTGTATTAATTAGATTAAGGAAGTTATCTCCCAGTATTTTTACTACATTTGATTGGCTGATTCAAGTGCACCATTAAATGGTTCGAGCACCTTAAATTGGTTTTCTACGTTACTAGTAAATTACATGTGTAGCCTAAACACTACTACGTAGTAAGAACGTACTAACCGTTGCATAGTTAGAGTTAGTACTTCGAAGTACTACTGTACTACTGTACTGGGTACAGGGCCTTCATAACATCGTTGCCCCCCTTCTCTCGTAAACTCCGCAGTGAGGAAACAAAGCACAACTGAATATACGTATACTTGGTACTATTAATACTTGCTTTTTCTCGTGCACTGACCATTTCCGAATCCAGAAATGCCGAATCCAGGGGAAAGAAGGGGGCGTCATCGCAATATAAAACAAAGTATAAATGATACTGAAACATTTGTGTGAGATTGGAACCTAAGCTGAGATTGGAACCTAAGCTACGAATCGGGATTTCTTTATCAGGACGTTCTTCGTTTCAAAATGAACGCCAAAGTGTATCCCACTACAAATTATCAGCATGCCCCAACCAAAAACTTGCAGTTCGTGGAAATTTCGTCACATAGTATCGTGGCCATAATTGGAAACCATTGTTGATTTGGACTATCCCAACCATATTGGCGACGACAACCCATCACAGATC